ATCTATCTATCTATCTATCTATCTATCTATCTATCTATCTATCTATCATCCCTATCTATCTAATCTATCTATCTATCTATCTATCTATCTATCTATCTATCTATCTATCCATCCATCCATCCATCCATCCATCCATCCATCCATCCATCTTCTATATCAGGGGTCTCCAACCTTGGCAACCTTAAGCCAAGTGGACTTCCACTCTCAGAATTCCACTCCAAAGTGGCTGGGGAATTACGGAAGTCCACAAGGCTTAAAATTGCCAGGGTTGGAGACTTCTGTTCTACGTCACGTCATATCCTGTCTGTCTCTCTGTCTCCATCCATCCATCCGTCTGTCCTTTTTCTTTTTCATCTATATATCTATCTTCTCTCTCTCTCTCTCTTTCTTCCTCTCTTTCCCTCTCCCTCTCCCCCCCCCCTTGTAGATTTTCTTTTGAAAACCAAAAAAAAAAGTCCAGTCACCTCTTGAAAAAAACCCACACCTTTGGGACAACCAATGTGCTGGATGGCTGAGAACCTCCACAGACGTTGAGCCACTTCAAAGCGTTTCATAGCGTGCGCTGGGCCGGTCGCAGCAACCCTCTTATGGACTAGCGCCTTGAAACGAGTCTTCTCTTTTCCAGCTGGCCATGGGGAAGATGATGGAGCAGGGCCCCGTGCTGATCGTCACCTTCCAGGCTCAGCTGGTGATGGTGATGAAGAACCAGAAAGGAGAGGTGGTGGAAGGAGATCCGGTAAGGCCCCACCCACCCTTCGCGATCTACCATTCGAATGGTGCCACATTCAACAACTTCGGTTGAGAAGGAAGAGAAAGAGTAGCCCGCCGGCTGGGGTGGGGGGGGTCAGAGGGGACATGGGCAGGGTGTGTGTGTGTGGCCAGCTTGACATCACTCATGTTGAGGGCACCTGTAGTAGACCGAGCGCTTTGCCAGCAAAAATGGGCTCCCCCAAGCGCCATTTTCGGCTGCGACAGCCTCCTGCAAACCTCTGCCAGCGCAGCCCTCCCAAGCTCCGTTTTCGCTGACGGAGGCACCACGGGCCAGTCTGCTGTTTGCAGGGCGGCCTCGTGGGCCGGGTCTAAGGATGCCACAAGGGCCGGTGTCACCTCATCAAACATTCCTCTGCCCGTTTTAGTAGTTGCCATAAAAAAAAGTTGGGGGGGGGGGAGGAAAGAAATCTGGAAGAGCAAGTGCAGAAGTTTGGAAGCGAAAGTACATTCCAACTCTTCGCTTTAAAAGGTTGTAACTAAACTACCAGAGCTTTTGCCCGGGAAATATTTAATTTGGAGAACCTGATTGATGACATCCAGCCTGTGAACGTGCTCAGTTGGAGAATATGATTTATGACACACCCAGAAAAAGTGGGGGGGGGGGGTCACAGGGACTGTAAATGACGTAGGCCAGAGTTGGCTTCCTACAGGGCAGGGCCAAGATGTCGCCTCTAATGAATCCTTTCAAGTGTTTTGAAGTTTGGCTTGAGAATCAGGATTTCATTAGGGCGATTGCTGGAATCCTGACAGCTGGATCTAAGCACCCTGCAGACCAGATCCAGCCGCAGGCCTTGGGTTTGACTCCCCCCTGCCCTGGGCAATCCAAGGAGGCTGGGTTTAATTTTGAATTTTCCTCCCCCCCTCCCCACCACTCCTGGTCTCCTGTTCCCTCCCTTCCCTGGCTCCCCAGCGTTGGGCACCTGTCTCGGGGCCAGGAGGTGGGAGGGGTCTTCTAGAGACAGGGCGAAGCTCACTGTCTCCTTTTTGCTTCGGAAAACAAGAAAGTCCAGTTGCCACTTGGAAAAAAACAAACAAAAACAAACCACTTTGGGACAACCGTCACCTGGATGGCGGAGAATCTCCCTAGACAACTTGTAGTTTGGTGTCTAGATGACCACGGGGGCTGCTGGGTCAGGAGTGCAATTTCATTCAGTTGGGGAGATTGCAAGGCAGGGGTTTCTTTTTCCAGCCGGGGTTTGTCCTCTGCTGCCCCTTTTATCCCTGCGACGTGCCGGCCTCCCTTTTCACAGATTACCAGCTTAACAGAGTTGGGAGGGACCTTGGAGGTCATCTAGTCCAGTGGTCACCAACCAGTGGGCTGGGGACCCCTGGTGGTCTGCGAGAAAATTTTGGGGGTGTGCAGAGAAATGTTACCCTCCCCTCCAAA